TTCTAGTTTTTGTTCCAATGTCACCTTCTCAGGGGAACCTGCCTGATCACCAGATTTAACATCACAACCACCACCGTCACCTTCTTCATCCTTGCTCAGTTTTTCTCCCGGTTCTCCAGTTTACCTTCTATTCAGAACATTCTATTTACAGATAGACGCTCCTAGACTTACGGTGGGTCATGTCTCAAAAATATCCTAAGCTGAAAATGCATTTAACACACCTAACATAGCTTAGCCTAGCCTACCTTAAACATACTCAGAACACGTATGTTAGCCTATAGTTGGGCAAAATCGTCTACCACGAAGCCTATTTTATAAAGAAGTGTTGAATAGCTCATGTAACTTATTGAATATTATACCGAAAGTGAAAAATAGAATGGTTGTACGGGTGCCTGAAGAACAACTCCTACTTCACGCTGTTGCCTAACACTTTGGCACCATTGTAAAGTTGAAAATCATGTCACACCATCGTTGAGTTGGGGACTGTCTGTAGTTTACTTATTTGTCTGTCATTGCCCCCCACTCCCCCAGCCCCCACTAGAAATAAGCTTCGTGAGTCATCGCTACATCCCTAGCACGTAGAACACCATCTGGCACGTGATGGGCACTCAATAGGCCTGACTCGAATGAATAGTTGGGCTAATGGATGGACTAATATTTTGAAATATGTGAGAGTTTTACCTATTTTCAAAATTAAATTAAAAGAGAAAAACCAGAAAGTTTTATGGGAAACAAAAGGAAAAGTGTATCTTAGCTAAATAAATGCACTTGGATAAAAAGAATGAGATAATTCTATGAATAATATCCAGTCAAATCAATAAGTGAAAAAGCCAGGTAAAAAAGTATGCTAGCTTAAAAAAAAATCATATTCATAGATGCTCCTGGAGTGTTGCCCAGGAATTGGTAGTGATGGTTGTCCCTAGGTAAGGGAACTGGGTGGCCAGGGGACCAGGGTGGGCAGAAGCTAGCTTTTTAATGAGCAACCCTTGCACTCCTTGAATTTTGTACCATGTATTAATACAAACAATATCTGTCCAAAAACTAAAATCACAATAAAAGATTGCCGTTTGTAAGTCATACTCCAAAATCAACACTTAACTGAATGGAAATGAGATGTGCAAAGTCTCTTGCTTTAGAAAGAGTGGATCTCGAGACTCAGCAGTAAGGCCTATCTGACGTGTCGAGGTGTCGGGAAGGGCGGGCAGCCCCAGCAGCGTTGCAGAAGCAAACTTGTTCAGTGTCCATCAAGTACCATCTGGAAGGGAGGAAATCTTGACTAGCCGGACCAACTTCGAGTGTCCGATCGAGCCGTCAGCCATCACCGCTCATCCAAGAGCACGCAGCTGGAGCGTGCAGACAGAAATGCTGCCCTGCTGCCAACAGGCTCCCGCTGGGGGAACGTTTCCCCGGTGAGCACGATGCTTGAGGACCAAGAAGGGGGCCTCTCCACAGCCCCACCTGAACATTTCAGTCCAGCTGTCTACGGGCAAGGCCGCCCGGACTCCGCGGATGTCATGGCTCACGTTGGTGAAGTGGTTCCATTGTCTCTTCATTCAACTCAGAGGCTTCCAATAAACTCATCGCCCGTGTCACGTTTTCCCTTGTCCACAGGAGGAAGCAGCACAGTATAGTCATTTTTTAAATGCCAATTTATTGAATTTTTGTCATGTGTAAATGCCTTCTATGAAAACTCCAAAGTCTTGGTACCAGTGACATTTCCAGTGATGTGAATCTAATTAATTCCCTCTCTTACAATTTCAGTATTGACAGAGCCAGGTTTAGATCGTTATTTGACTTTTCCCACTTGCAGGGAGTGAACGCACTGGCTGGCCATGACTGCTAAGTTCTTTGATTTGGGGTTGGTTGTTTCCATTGTAAATAAATAAATGGCCAGCCAGCATGATGCTAGGGCGTCGGCCTCCGGACTGTTTCACGTGAGCGTGCCCACGGAGACAGGTCTGCTCTCAAGGGCGCCATGTGTAAGACCAAGAGCATCCCCTTGGCCTGCGGCAAGTTCAGCATCCTTGGCCACCTCCCCTCCACCCCCATCCTCACCTCCACCCCCAAAACAGACAGGAGTGAATAACAGAAAGCCTAACGCTTTGCCCAGAAGCTAATAAAGTTAAACTTATTTAAGATAGGATGTGCTGCACACACGCCAGCCAAGCCCTTTAGCCATTCACACCTCTTGATTAGAAGCAACACCAAGTTTGAGCAGATCATATATTAATATTTTTGAAGTGTTTCTCATAAATATACACATATATATAGCTTCAAGAAATATTGACTACGAATGCTAGATTATATAGACTGCAGTGGAATTCTCTTAGTTATTGTCTAAAAACATATTTGTTTGGTATTTGCATAAAGAAATATTGACTAGATACACCAGAAACCAGTCAATATTGCTGGAGGGCGGGGTACATTGGGGACAGGAATGGGAATAAAACTTTCTGCTGAAAATCTTTTAAATCATTTTAATTTTTGGGCCACAGGAATATATCACCCATTCAAATTTTTATAAAAGCAACATTTGTATCCATACGGAGCCTTGTTCCTGTCGGAAGCCTTGTGCATGAAGGTGCAGGCATGCCGCGTTTTTGGTTTTCTCTGGGCCCCCACAAAGGATAAAATCAGATCCCTCCGTCGACTAGGGTTCGCAGAGATTAGTATGTGTAACAACCATGTTTTCAAGTTTCTGCATTTCATGCTGTGACATCTCAGGGCCGTGCTCTCCCTGGACTACTCCCCAAGAGTTAGCCAGTTCCTAGACATAGTAAAGCACCCAGCCGCTGGCGTGCCCTGCACATGCGCGCAACCAGCCCAGAGTCCGCACGCCAACCACCTCCTTTACCGAGCTCTGATATTCTGAGACCAGAACCAGGTCCCAGACAAC